TGTATGCAGCCTCTTCCTTTGTTTACACGGAGCCATTCGTGTAAAGAGATCGAGCAAAGCGAAAAGGGGGAAAATTTATACTAGCTAGAATAAACTAAACATTTATCTGTGCACTCCTCCCTTCCGTTGGTGGGAAATTTGCGCTTTTTGGCTTCCGTGTGCAGCTTAAATTATAAATTGTAGAGGAAGAGATTTTCTATCAGCAAACTCAACAGCATGTTTTTCGAGAATTCCAAAACGGCAAGTGAAATCTTGAGCCCTGGTGAGGTAAAGAATTAAAGTTGGAAGTTTTTAATGTTGGGGTCAAGTTTTAATATCCTTAAATAGAAATCAAACTCGACCAATTGTGAATCCTGGTTAATTTACAACTCTAACGTTATTGCCTAAAAGTTTGTCTTTACTTTTTTCTTGAACAGATACACTTTGTCAGCTACAACACCAAATATGCAAACATAAGTGTTGCACTTCCCAAATCTGACGGTCTTGCTGTTCTTGGTGTGTTTATCGAAGTACGTTGAACATCCTTTTTTGTACTTTTTACCTCTACAATTTTTTTTTTCTGATATCATGTTATTTATTTCTTCAGGTTGGAGGTGATTATAACCCAGCATACGAATTTCTGAAATATGCCAAAAATGTCACCGAAGGTAAAACACTGTACTTGATTTTATTTTATGTCTAGCATCGTTAATTCGGATCGTGTACACCAGAAAACCGGGCAGGGGCGATAACGCTCAAATCACCGATGTCGCTTAAACTTGGCTCAAATGCTAAGTGTCATGAGTTAACAAGTTTGTAAAGATAATAGTTCAAAATATCTAATTCCCTGGAAGATATAGGGTTCCCCTGGGAAAACCCCAATTTTTGGCATTTTTTGCATAACTTATTAGCTAACTTTGCATTGCTGCTGTGACAAAACCGAAAAGCCATCTGCAAGTCAATTAAATGGGTTGTGTTCTATACCTATCATATTTTAAAAGCATTAAACTGTTTTAACTTTTTCACTTTATTTCTTCCCTTACCTCTCCCTTAACTAAAGACGACTTTTTCGGGTTTTGACAAAGTCCAAAAATAAGGGTATTTTAAGGCCCAATATCTTAGATGAACAACCACTTCTGATCGTAATTCCTACATGGGCAGCGAAAGCCATCACTGGAATTGCAAAATTAGTAATGAAATTTTGGGGCAACTCATTTTATTACCCATGCTGACGTGAAATTTACATCTAACTAACCGCTTTTGGTCTACAGCACCAAAATACCGTAAACCACATCTTTGTTTTACTAACTTAAAATATCACTTTATTAAAATATAATATATGATAGCCAGTTATGTCATGCCCTTTTCTAAAACACTTTTTTTAGCAGTGAATACATTCTAGACGCCCACGATGAGATATCCTTAAAATAACTCAACAGAATGTTTCGAAATTACGAGAAGTTTCTAGCACAGCCTGAAAAAATAGTGATGTGGTAATTCAATGTTCTAAATTGCTCTATCGATTTCTGGAAACTTCGTTGCATACGTATATAGAAATCTCTCATATTTTATCCGAGGTTTTCTGCTTGCATTTGATATGTAATCTCTTGCTTTCTATTTTCGTATCTGGCTTTTCGTTGAGATGTACCTTAGCAATTACTTCATTGCAAAAGTGCGAATTTTAACAATTGGTTCATGCTTTAGCGTGTACTATGGAGCTATGGAGCACGCGGGAAGTTTGGAGAGCACGAAAGAGGCGTAAGAGTTGCCCGAGGTAATAGCCGAGGGCAACTCTAGCTTCTTGAGTGCTCTCCAAACTTCCCACGTGCTCCATAACTCGATAGTGCAGGGCTGAAAGCATCTGATGAACGAAATGTTTTAGAACATAGCCGGTGGAATTGTGCATCAAATCCGACGCGAAAAACGGACACAACATCAATTGAAGCGAATCGTGACGGCGCTGATGCCGAGTCTCCTTTTCCGTTGTTTTTCTCTTTTTCTGCCTCATTTAAGAACTCTAGCCCAAGGGAAAAGGTCGAAAAATTGTCTTCGTTCTGGAACTAGTAGGCCGAGTCTCGGTTTGTATCCATTATTGTCACGAAGTACTTTATTTTTCCCCGCGCTAACAATGGCCGCTCGCGCGAAAAAAAAAATTCTTGCGAAGCGACTTGCTCACGCTATCAGCGTGCACTATCGAGATTTTGAGCACGCTTACGTATACCGAATTTGATTGCGCGGCTCTAGTAGCTATGTTATAATGAAAGGTAGGGTGAGGAAGGGGAGGGGTCAGCGATCAATTTCGAAAAGGTATCTGACAAAAGTAGTGGCCGCTCTTAAGGCTTACAGAGAATAGCCGACAATCCGCTAATGATCCGCATCATGATCAAAACGCGGAAAAATCTTCCTTTGTGCGTAGACGCTTCTCTTCATTAGTGATTCTAGAAGGGCAGAGGCTATCTTTCCCCGAACTCATTTAAGTCCAAAAAATTTTAAAATGCAGTTGGAAAATCAATTGGCACTTACTGTGGGTTGTCAGTCAGATATCGTTGATAAGAGAAATTGTTACCAGGGACTTCAGCATGCATTTCAAAATTGTGGGAGTGTCAGACTCAATGACATTGTCAGGAGGTGAGTAGATTTCGATGACAGCAGGACTTTGCGACGCCGACTCTCACGTATTTGCAAACATCCCAGGAATATGGTGTATATAAAAGGCAACTAGAATTTTCTCTCGCTAAATCAATGAATGAATTGCCAGTTATCGGATCCTCGTGTTTTCGCTAAAGTCTCTTGGATCGTCAGGGGGCAAACGTTGCAAGCTACTACAAGAAAGAATTTGGCGAATTTTCGCCGCCGTTTTTTCAGGAATGGATTTAGCCAACGTTTATACGAGAAAAATGTAAGTTATTGTTTGAATATTGGAACCGTTATTTCGCTGGGCGGATAGGATAGGATAGGACATATCTTCAAGCACAGAAAGTCGGCGGTAGTGTGTCTAGTATAGTGGCATTAAAATCGTCCCTGATACACAATTTCGTTCAAACTGATCCCAAATTTTTTATTTGTTGATTAGATAACTTTGACATTGATGCATCCTTGTAATATATTCCGAAGGCCTCTTTGCCCCGGCCGCATTGTAACCGACCGCTGAATGATATCGCCTTCTTCGTAAGCGATGGTCGAGCGTTGATCATGTAGAGAACTAGTTTAGCAGGGGACCCAGTGCTCCTTTAGCAACTTTTCAACATTGTATGTGTTTGGAAATCAGTAAAATTTTTATTTTTTTGGAAAGGGCAAGGCCATAGGTCTTTTTATGTCCTGTTACTGATTGAACGAAACAGATCACAGACCTGGCAGCTTAAGGACTGAATCAAATTCAACCGAGCCCGAGGTATCAGCCAAGCCAACTAAGTGACATGTATTTAGCTCGTATTTACGTTTTAGAATCTTCTTCAGTTCATCGAAGCGTTGGACTGTTTATACGTGAACATTTGAAGCTCCTTGTCCACTTGGTTTACTAAGACGAATACAAGTACGGCGATGGAGAAAGTCCCTGGAAATGGCGAGATTTCCTCTTTTCAAAGATTTTTCCCATTTTGGCGTTAAGTGATGTTCTCTGTGAAATTTTCTGTGTAATTTTAGAGCTAATGAATGGAGAGTTGGTTAACGGAACTTTGATGACGTAGACCAAAAAGCGGTCAGTTAGATGTAAATCTCACGTCAGCACGGGTAATGAAATGAGTTGCCCCAAAATTTTATTACTGATTTTGCAAGTCCAGTGATGGCTTTCACTGCCCACGTAGGAACTATGATCAGAAGTGGTTGGTCATTGGAGATATTGGGCTTTAAAATACCCTTATGTTTGGACTTTGTCAAAACCCGAAAACGTCGTCTCTACTTAAGAGAGAGGTTAGGGAAGAAATGATATGAAAAATTAAAAACAGTTTAATGCTCTTAAAGGCTGGTAGATATAGAACACAACCCAACTTTCAACTTCAACTTTACTTTATTTAGCACTCAGGTTTTAGTTACAATATTAACATCAAAAAACAGGAAAGGATACAGGTGTATAAAATTAAAGGTAACAGTGTTCCATTGTTCGTGCATGGAGGCTAAGAGGACCGCGTGGTTATTGAGTCAGCCTCCATCTCTTTTGGATTCACATAGAAGAAACTAGGAGTAGAGGAATTATATCA